GCAGATGCGCTGTCTTCATAAAAGCACTGAGACATGGCGACCTCAAAATGAGGAAACACATCAAACTAACAAAACACTTTAAAGACAGACACCCGGATCAAATGAAAGAGTTCAAGCAGGTAAGTTTCGTTTAAATTTTTAATATTTGTGTTTCCCATACACTGATTTATTTGTGGCGGCCCACACGCGTCGAAGTCGAAACCCGGTGCGGGTGTTTTTATATCATTGTATTTCTGAAGGTCAAAATTATGGATGTCATTTTCATTTCATCTTGCCTGTAATGCCTGAGCAGTTTGTTATTATTCCATATTTTAATTTGAATTTCGGATTGAAATAAACATCGCCGTTAGCGTATATGTAGTTAATCGTTAGCATCAGCGCGGCTAACGCTAATACAATGAGCATTAGAATGAAGTTTCTTTATTAACTATTTAATGCTCCTATAACTTAAAAAAAAACAGGAGGCCATGATGACATTTACTATTTTTACACACCAGAGGCTTTTAAATAAATTGTGAATTTAAAATATGCGTGTTAGAGAATGTACAAATGGTTAACATTGTTTGTGTCATATCAATCGGAAAAGCAGTTCTGGGCTTTTTTTTAGCTAACTTAGTTGTTATCTTGGTTGAATAACTCTAGAAGGTTTTAAAAGCCCTTTAAAATTAAATATGTACACAGTTTGGATTAAATGAATGTATAGTCAAATTTTTTAATTAGCATGTTTTTGTGTTTTGCTTTGGTACCGAAATTGGTACCGAGAACCGTGGATTTTCACTGGTATTGGTACCGAATACTGGAATTTTGGTACCGTGACAACACTACCTAATGTTTAGGCTAACGTTAGCTAGCTAGCAATGTGATCTCGTAAACAACATCATAATGCTATTTTTGATAATATTATTATGATAAATTACCTTCATAGCCATGAAAAATTTTTTTAAACACTTATAATATTTTAAAGCATTTATTATTTCTCAACTCCACAGCTGTGCAGTAAAATTCACTTTAAAGATTCACTTTTCATTCATGAAGATGACATGAAAAATGTGCCAAAAATGTGTCTCCTTGGCGGAAAACAAAAGGTGTGTTCGACTAGAAGCGGCGCTGTGCAGATCGATTGGTGTATGACATCAAAATACCGCGAGAGCGATTAGAGAGCAGACGTCTCCTTATGCTTTCGAATCACTCTCGCGGTACTTTGAAATCATACACCGATCGGTTTGCCGCGCTGCCCAAGTCGAACACACCTAAAGACTATTAAGATGAAAATTACATTAAATTACCATTATAACCAGTAGATGGCAGCAGAGGATCACTCATTAGTTCATTTGCAATTTCAACTCCCTAGTGTTTTTTTTTTCCCTTTCATGTCTTGATTCTGGATTTATTAAAATGACTATTCTAAAAAAAAATTTTTTGCCGTTTTACTTAAGTATAAAGTATAGCAAGTGCAGGAAATCACAAAGTCTCATGTCATTTAAAAAAATAGCATAAGCCCACACACCAACAGCCGAGAAGGGTTAATTATTTAAATACTTAACTCGTTAACTACAAATTAAATAAGTTAATTATTAATGGTATAACAATTAAATAATAATGCATTCATTGTTTTGAAATATTTATAGATTTAATGTAAAAAAAAAAAAAGTTTTATTGTTAACTGTAGAAGCTGCTAAATATATTCAGCCAACAGACTTGTTGCTGCTATAGTTTTATTACTCAGAATTTAATTTGAATCACTTAATGCACAGGTCTATTTTTGACATCGGTTTGTCAGATTTGTTCTGTCCATTGCTACAGTTATCACTGTCAATCATAGCAATGACTCACGGCATGATTTAGAGGATTCATTAACTTAATTTTTTACACTCGCATGTGTCATTCTTGAAACTGTATACATGGACGTTTGGTCCTCTTAGACAAACAAAACTTTTCTTCAAATTTTGAATGAATTAGAGAAACCAAGCAAAGGGCGCTCCCCTTATGGCAGAGTTGATTTTCAATTAGGAGACGATAAGCACACAAAGCTTTGTGCAATGATGCTAATATTGATCAAGCAGTAAAAATGCCCATTCCTGCACCCAAAACAAGATGCATGCAGATGAGGGTACGAAGCACCCAGCGTTGACCTGCACCACTTCACAAGACAAATTGGCACGACAGTCATTTATTATATTCAACAACAACATCAGCTCTTCCCATGCGTCATATGTCATTGTGTGCACATGCGCAAAACTTTCCAGTTTCAGTTTTCAATCCGATCAAGAGTTTACATGTCCTGTCGAACAGATTAGAAAATGTTTATCCCAAGTTTATTGGACTTTTAAACCGATTGTGATCAGAATACAGTGCTCCATGAAAACGCACCTACTGTAAAGTTTCAGGAGTGACAACCTCATTTAATACGTGATTGAATCCTCTAAATTTTGTGTGTTTGTGAGTGTGTGTGTGTGTGTATGGAACATAACTCATTCTCAGTATTGGTATGACCGATACCAATGTAACAATAGCAAAGCTTTGCCATCTCACGTTTGGTATCCACTATTTTTGACCAAAGTAATATTACAGCCACCAAAGGCCATGTACACACTGCAGCTAAATTTGGTTGTCATTTCACCTTTTTGTGTTTAATCCTGTTCTGTACACACATAGTTTAGTAATTTACATGAGTGAAATTCATTCCACAACGAATTAACTCCCGAAAAATTCAGGTAGTAACAACCGTATTTACAGAAATTCTATGCAATGTGTAAATAACCGAACTAAACAACTAGTTGTTAACATATTTAAACTTGTATCAGAGTTTCAGATTTGGTCCTCTCTTCTGCATGTGCAGTGCAAGAAATCACAGTGAATGAGATAAGTTTTTTGACTTAGTTTTGCCAGATCTTGATGTATATATATACTATATATATTTATTTATGTATTTTTTAAGTTTTATAGATTTAAGTTTATTATAGGCTTGTTCATATTTATTGTTTTATA